ACTTAATTTAAGAAATCTTTTACTTATTTCTAGATCGTTTTTGCAGTGTGTCTGTTAAGGGGATGATTGCACGCTCCGCCAGATAAGACAGCCTGAGAAACGTATCCAGAATTACTGGCATGTTCTTCTTGTCTGTATAATATCAACCTACAGGATGTTGAGCTCTTAATAAAGAAGATTGTTTCTGTAAAAATAATTTTCTGTTTTAGATAAAATAAATCAGATGAAGCTTTAAACACCATGATAGAGCGGAGTTGTATTTTTGTTTGACGGGGTCATGTCAGCTCCAGAATCACTGAAAGGGTCCAAATTTGACCTTTGAACTCAAAGCGATTCATGGTTGGAAGAGTTGCAGATTAAGCTGAGGGGAGTAATCATTGAAACACTAAGATCAACATATATTAGCAGAGGAGCAGATGCTCTCCTCCACTTCCGAGCACATTTCATCGCTCTCTTTTTTCCCCTCTCTCTCCTGTAGTGCCATTACTGCTCAGGCTTAACATGTTTTTATTGAAAATCCTGTTCGGTTTGAACGTACAGTTGTCAGTTAACAAACTCATGCAAATGCTCTCCTGCACAGCAACTTTCCCCCTCCTACACGGATTCATAGCTGCTCAGCCTTTGCATCCTCCGCACATGTGGCGGCCTTTAACGGCGTTTCTCTCTCTCTCCTCGCATGCAGACACGCCCTGCAGCTGAACGTGATCGCCACGCAGCAGCTCCTCAGCCTGGCCCGGCAGATGCACCACCTCGAGGCCTTCATTCACATCTCCACCGCCTATGCAAACTGCAACAGAAAGTACATCGATGAGATCATCTACCCGCCACCTGTCGAGCCCAAGAAGCTCATTGACTCTTTGGAGTGAGTGAATGAGAGATGATTGTCATTAAATGCAGCTCAGCTTGGTTCCCGTTTTTATCAAAATCAACAGAATTTATTTATAATAGCGTGTCAAAAAAAACTGTAGGTTTAAGATGAGTAAATTTGCGAATAATTAAGTTTACAGCAACAGGATAAATTAAAAAATGTTCAGTCAAATAAGTACCTTTTCTTTTATTAAAAACTCTTTTTGCAGTTAAATAATTGACATCACCCTTTTTCTTTATCTTTAAGTGTGGCATATAAGGCTGCTTTGCCAAAGAAGATAGGCAAAAATTTATTTCCACACTTAGGTTGCCACATAGGGGATAAAGCAAAAGTTTAAGAATGAATTTATATAAAATTAGGAGGCAAGATGCTAATTAATGGCAAAATAAATTATTTATTTGTGTGTATTTTTCTCCTGGATGGCAGGGATATCTTTATGTATTTCCTAATTGTTACATTGTACATAAAAAAGTAAGTAAAACAAAAATATTTTTAAAAGGATTAAAATGTGTTTGTGCTAATGACAAATTTGAAAATATTAATATTTTAATTACTTTTTAATGATTAAAAAAAAAGCAGTATAAAATAGTTTTTTTTGTTGTTGTTTTGTTTGTTACTAAAGTTTTGCTATGACCAGACCCACCTGCTGGCTAATCTGGACCCAGCCTTATTTAAAACATTTATAAATTACCACACGTTGTCCGACGGCAGTGTCTAATTTTACTTGCGCCGCTTCTCCTGTTAATACGGTAAAGCCCTGGGGAGCGTCCGGCTCCAGGCTGCGCGTGATCCAAATGAGCCAATGAGCTGTCAGTCTGGGTTGCTGCTGCTGCTACTTTTAGACACAGCAGGCAAATCATCAATCAGCTGGAGTTCCTCTATTAGGTCCATCAATTAATTCACTTATGGCTACATAAACTATAAAAAGTCGAAGGTTAAATGAAAGGTTTGGTCTTATGTGTCTCTTCTCATTGTCACCCAGGTTGAGGAACATCCGATACACCTTCAACACGCTGCTAGTTGTTTTCATCTGGCGGGTGTTCATTGCCCGCTCCCAGATGGCCAGAAACATCTGGTACTTCGTCGTCAGCCTCTGTTTCAAGTTCCTCTCCTACTTCCGTGCATCCAGCACCTTAACCAACTGAGTCTTCCAGACAGCCTTGAGCCAGAGACGGACAGCCCTCGCCTTTAGCTGTCGGTTGTAAATAAAAACAAAAACAAAAATCACCTTACGCCCTGACGCTCTCGATGTGGACAAACGGGGCTCTCCACAGAGGGGCGTCTGCAGCCGAGTGAAGTCAGAAGGAGAATAACGAGGTCTTTTTGCCATTTACTTATTTGTTAAGTTGGGAAATCGGTCGTTTAAAGCTTGACATTCCCTGTCAGGAAACCCCGTCCATCGAAGAAAGCGTTGTCTTCTTTTCTACCTTACGTTTCCCTCAAAGTGGCCAATTATATATGCAACGATACACCTTCTGTGTGACTCTCACCCGCCTTCCCCAACCCCGTCAATCTCAGATCATCATCTGGCCTTGTGATATCTTTGTTTTCCATACTTGAAATGCAACGTTGATGCAGAGGTGGAGGATCTCAACATATTTTTTTATTTTATTCTTGAATACATCTTGCATTACGTGCATCGACTGCCTTTTTTTAAGATGACACTCCACATTATTTACAAAAGTCGTAAAAGATCACATTTGCCCTCACATGGCTTCGGAACGTGGAGACATGCTAGTTAGATGATGTGTTAATCGCTTCTTTTATGGCGAACCTTGTCGGAATGCTCATGTTTATACAGCTGTTTGTACTGAACTGGGTTTACTACTTTTACATCTTTATACTTGCACCAAAAAAGCAAGTCTGATCGCGTGTTAGACCTTGGCAGTGTAGTATTTATAAATAAAAGTACATAAGAGTTATTTGTATAGCAAAGCGCATACTGTACGTTGTTCCTCAACATCAGGCATCCCCAAAGTGGGTCCTGGATGGCCGCTTTCCTGCAGGATTTAGAGGTTTCCCTGCTTTAGCGAAGCTGATTATTATGATTGCAGTAGAGCAAAAGCCCGTTAATACGCTTTCAATTAAAATCAGCTGTGCTGGAGCAAAGAAACCTCTAAAACCTGCTGGACAGAGGCCCCCGAGGGCCGACTTTGGTGATGCCTGCTCAACATGGTCCTACACTGGAAAAACGATCTATAAATAAGTAAAAAAGCCTTAAATTAAGTGCATTTACCCTTATTTTAAATAGGTAAATGAGATATTTTGCCAATGGAATGAGTATTTTTACTCTTAAAATAAGATAATTAATTAATATGCACTTGAAATAAGACAATGCAATTGTCTTTTCTTATTTTAAGTGTAAATTGTCTTGTTCCATTGGCAAAATGTCGCTTTTACCTCCTTTAATCCAAGAACAATTGCACTTATTTTAAGAAAAAATTATCTAGATTTCGATTTTTTTTCCAGTGTAGGCAAGCTCTTTGAGAGAATATCCTCCAAAACTTGGAAACAGGAACACTGAAGTGGTTCAAAAGTGGAATTAAGGATTCATGAAAATTAGGCTGTTAAATTATTTGTCAAAACGTAATCGTTTATTTTATAAGGGATGCTTTAAGTGAGCAATTAAGAGTGGAATTAAAGTGGTAACTGCAAAATTTAAATTACTCTGGAAATGACACGCTAAAGTTGGAGTGGAAAGGAGCTATCGTCTACATCGGCGCACATAAACCTAATTGGTTAAAGGGACCGAGTACACCACCATGAGGGACGCCACTTTTAATAGAATGGAGGAATGCTGCTATATTAGGGATTAGATGTGCTTGGCTTCCTTTATCCCAGCTTTATAAAAAGAAAAATCTCAGACTTTGTACCAAAAACTTGTTTTTGTATTTGTTGGATTTTTCTTCTGGTGTGTTCACAGGACCGCAGAGCTTCCCTCTAACTACAATAAGTATTTACAGTAATACTCAAAGCTGAGGAAAACTGGGCGGTATCGTCTATTTTTTGAGGTTCAATAATAATAAACTGAATGACCTTTTGTGGAGGAAAAGGGAAGAAAATATGTTTATGCAAAACTCATGTTTGACGTCTGTCTGCGTTCGTTTGTTCGTTAGAGGACAGCATGATGAAGAACCGGTTTTTTTCAACCTGTACCCCCAAAGAGCAACAGGGCTATCTAAATGGTGTCGGTCGTGTTCGTCCCTCCTGGTAACCGCGCTGTCTTCGTTCGATTAAATGCGACGCACCGCTGGTGTTACGCCTTCAGAATGCAGCAAAATGAAACAAGAAACCCAGAAGGTTTTTTTTTTCTGACTGGTTGTCATTTTTGCACATTGTTTGAACACCTGTGTTCCCTGCTCTAAAAAGTCGGCTTGGCAAAACTGAAATAAAGAAGATAAAAAGTGCATCTGTGGTGTGTTCTGATTGGAAAATGTGGATTTTTGTTGTTTTTCAGCTAAATGTCCTGCTGGTTAAGAGTTTGTGCTTATTATTTCATTTTGAAACAGATTTGGTTGATTTTTCTTTTTCTGTTTATATTTTTAAATATTTTCATTAAACCTAATTTTATAAATCGGAGGTCTTCTACAGGTGTATGGAAGTAAATCTGTGTCGCTGGGATTTGAATTAAAAATGCTACTGAAATTTAAATGTT